AGTTTGCCCCCGACCTAGGAATTCCTTTGATAAAGAAGAACTGGCAATAAATGAAATAAACAGGGCCAGGAGACTTATTCTCCTTTTTAATGCCTTTATTAAAAGTGATCAGCTCAGGATTGGGCAGCTCGGCAGGGCTGCAGTCTCCGTCATCTCTCAGGGCGACTCAGAGGAGGAGGATATGCGCAGCTTTGTCCACCAGGGGCAGAGCTGGGGATCAGATCCTCGTGGGAGCCTTTAGGGCGTGGTGATCCCTTCCAGTTGTTGGTTCAATCCGAGTCTCGCTTCCTCCCAGACCTGGCCCGGGGGCTCTTGAAGACAGGGTGAGGAACAATGAAGGTTTCCAGCATCTCTGCAGGCCCAGCACTCCGCTTCTCACATCCAGACATCACTCCAGTCTCTCAACTCTTATTTGGCTCGTTGTTTTTGGGGTCTTCTCAGTACAGCGGGGGACCCACACTGCATTCTGGTCTTGGAGTCACTTTGCATAACCCCCCTCACCTTCTCAGGTGTCTTCACTATTCTGGGAAAGGTACAACTTAGCCTCGGGCAAGGCTCTGCTAATACAAAAGGAGCAATTAGCCACAACGACCCGTGATTACAATAACAAAACACGCAGAACTTTGGCAGGGACAGTGATCTGGCTGCCTTTTTGTAACTTTTTTCTCACAAAAAAAATATTAACCGAATTTTTGTTCATAACAATAAATGTCACGAGGAATGAATATGTATGAACCTATTGTGAAACTGTATGCATATGCATTTGGAAGGGGGATAAAAGGAGACCTGAGGTCTTCAGGGGTATGCATGCCTTTTGAGGAGAATTTTCTCCGCATGCGTCCGGCGCCGTAAATAAACATACTGAGCTTTACAACTTTTATAAAGTTGTGAGGTTTCTTCTTTTTTCCACAAAACATATCATAATATAATAAATCAGCCTTCTGAGAACTTGGAGTCAAATTCTCATCTCTCACCTCATCGTGGGAACCTCACAACACAAGACCCTGTGGGTAACAGTGTGCTGCTGATTTATAGGAGTTGCTACAGTCACACCTGTCCCTTGCTGTGAGCCCTGTGAGGGAAAATGATGTAGTAGGTGCAAACTCAGCTTCATCATGGAAATGGTTTGTTTGTGTGCTCCATATTGAGTGACAGCTGCTGCAAATTTGCTCCCCTGCAGTTCTCTTGCTGCAATTTTGTCTGTGCTCCCAAACCTGGGTGGACTCTCCCCTCTGCTCCCTCAGGCTTGGGTTTCTGCCGAGTTATCTGTCAACTGCACCAGATAATTGCTGGCAAGTATTGGATCAGGTGCTTTACAGGAACTCTGGCAGCTGCCATGGCTGTAAATAGTGGCTGGCTGATGTTTCCCAAGGGCTGGAGGGGAGAAAAGGTGTTTCTCACTGATTATTGGGGTGATGCTGTAGCACTTGGGAGGCAGGAGCACGTTTGCCCTGTTACTCCAGGATGTGGGCCTGGGAGGACCTGCCCTTGCAGGCTGTGTAGCCCCAGTTTGGAAGCAGACTGGAGTTTTTGGGCAGAAAAAATGAAGTGAGGCTGAGTCATTTAGCAATTAGTGAGCCTTCAGCCATTTAGCAATTAGTGAGCCTTCAGCCCTGGTAAGAATCTGAGTAACTGAGAGGCAGAGTCTGCCTAGCGATTGCTGTTGAAGGATGTCATGGAGGCAGTCCACTTACAGTTCTGGCTGCTGTTCTGGGTTTAACATTTCCTTTTTTTTCCCCTGCTCATCTCCCCATCAGCAAGCTGGGGAATATGCATGGAAAACAAATCAGCAGCAGATAGTAGCATGTGAAGTGATTCTTCTGCTGGCACGGGTGGGACTCTGGGCAATAACACCCGTGGTGATTTAAAGTCCTAAGATAATGTGTTGCTTTCTTGCTTGCAAGCCCTAAAGTGGTTTGGAGGAAGGAGGTGAGAACCTGAGCCAGTTGGTTTGTGACGGATGTTGCATACTGTACAGCTGGTTTGGGTTTTATGTACTTGATTTCTTCAGAACTCATGAGTAGAGGGGACAGGCCGCTGTTACTGGCGTGAGCTGCTGCTCTACTCGTGAGCAGGCACAGGTGTCTGTGTAAGAGGCTCTGATCTCCCAGATAATACAGGTCCCAAAATGCCCGTAGAGGTTTTCTTTCCCCCTCTTTAGCATTTTTCAGGCAACATGGAGGCTCCCCATCCCCACTGGACTGGCTGGAGGCCTGTGCTGGATAAGGAAGTGAAAGAGAATGGAGGAACTAGGGACTCACAGTGAGAATCTATGCTTGGGGTCAGCCAAGAATGCCAGGAGGCAGGGAAATGGGAATTAGTCAAGCAGGAAGAGAGCCAATCCTCTTTGATGCCAAGAGGACCTTCTAAGCACCCAAGATTGCTGTGGGTGTGGAGCTGCCTGGAGTACTCTGTGGCATCCAAAAGAGAAGGGTGAAGCAGGACGGTCTGTGCAGCTCAGGGTGCAGGGGCAACCCCCCAGCCTGGGCTTGTGACTGCCCACACCCATGGAAGCATCTGAACTGCCCCAGCTAGCGGTTGTGAAAGCCTCTCTAAGCAATCATGAAATGTTTTCCTTTGATTCATCAGCTGTAATTCCTCCTGGAGACATGCTTTTCTCATGGCCTGCCTCCTGTAAGTCAGCTGTTCCCACTCAGGAGCTGAACTCTGGGCAGCCTTGCCTGGGTTCCTTTTCAAGGAATGCAGCCTTTCCTTTCACCCAAGCATTCGAGTGCACATAACACTCTGGACTCTCTCTTCCCTGACCCTGTTCTTTGTGTTCCTAGGCTGAGGTTTCCCCTGATGAATTTATTTGGCTCCCTGATCTCTTTAACTTTCTTACAGGTTCTAAGAAGATGGGTACAATGAGACAAAAATGTCAACCCCTTGTATTTTGTGCAGGGGGACAAGCCAGCACTGTTGCTGGATTACACAAACCCCTGGCATTGCCATCATTTGATGGGACTCTTGAGTTTCCCATTCCCAGTTCAGTGGTATTTTGCCCTGACCAGAACTGAACACAAATTTGGGCTGGTTTGTGTTTCCAGAATCCTGAATTGTCAGAAATGTGCTGCATCAACATGAAATGCAGTTTTTGGAGTCTAAGGGGTTTCTTTGTCACATAAAACAAGTAAAGAAGTTTTCTCTGATGCCTGAATGTTGAGGCACAGGGGGGAAATCCAGGGAGTTGCTGATAGACTGATGAGGGAATAAAACTCAAGTGGACTGGTGGCTCTCAGCAAACTCGTGAACCGTTTCCTAAGGGATAGCACTTTTCAGGGTGATTCAGAACTGCTCTTCCCCCACAGAACCCCACTTGGGTACCCTGCAGGCAAGGCCAGTTGCTCTCAGCTGCCTGGCTCAGTTCTCCATCTTGCCTACACTTGTTTCCCTTCCCTCTCATTCTTTCTTTCTCCTGTTGGGTCCCTTTCCTCTGGACTATAGCAGAGGGATCTGGGATTTGCAGCCTGTCCCTTCCCACTTGCCAAACCTCCTTCCTGGCAGTGCTGCTTCAGGAGTCCTTGTGCCTTAGCCAAGAGGGACATCTAGTGGGGCTGGAGCTCAGGGACCTGGGGCTTGTCAATATTTCTTGCATTTTTATTTATTAATTTGTAATCATTATGAAGGAGCAGGAACTGAGGTTTTACGTGGTCCTGGTGGCATGCTGGCAAGGTGGACCTTTGGTGGCTAGTTCATGGGCTGTTTCTCTCTTCTTACTTGCACATAGGGAAGTGACTGTGGAATAGGGCTTTTATGGGAAGAAAGGTGCTGTGGTAGGTGTCACTGTGCTCAGTAAAACAAAACCTGTCTGAACACACTTCTCAGTGGATTTGGTTGCACGAGGTTCAAACCTGGACTTGGAAAATCATCTTCTGCTCTCTTCTTGCTTGGCCATGATCCTGCTGGTTGTGGCAGGAGCCCCAGACTGCATGTGGGCACAAGGGAGAGAGAGTAGACACTGGATCTGGTGTTCAGGTGATGGAACAGCCCACTGCAGATCCTGTTGGAGCAGGTGCTGGGGCCCAACTGCTGGCCTCTTCTCATTAACTGTTTTATCCTTTAGCATCCTGTTATTCCAGGCATCTTCTGGGGACCATCATGCATAACAACTCCTGTTTAGGGAAGCTTTTAGTGGGCCACGTGTCTGGGGAGCTTAATTGCAAACTGTGGGACACTGGAATGCAAACATTTGTACTTTTATTTGCTCAGTGTTGCAAAAGTGCTGCTGATGCTCCCAGGACAAGAGAATGACCACAGTAAATGCTTCCAAAATGCTTCCTTTTGTGTTGCTGTAGCATTGTGTAAGCACAGATCTCAGAATGTTCCTTAACTCTGCAGGGAGGGCTGAGGCACAAACAATGCTCCTATTGTTAGCGTTCAAAAACACGTAATCACGGGGGATTATATGCGGTGCTTTTTATTAAGAGCTCTGGGAATCGGGGTATATTCAACCCAAATCTGACTCCGACCATACATCCGAAATGATCATGTTTTATACTCTATTGTTATATAACTTTCACGTTAATTATTAAACTTATATTGTTCTATTGTATACATAAATTTAGCCCCCCTCTGAATTTCCAACATAGTTTCTCATTATTCTTCTTATGGTTATATAATAATTATATTTAATTACTAAACAATCATCACATCTAACAATTATATAATTTATCACACTGCTTACGCAGGTGCAGTTGATCTGGGAAAACACAAAGCTTAACATTCTAGATTCTATCTTTAACTTTTTCCAGGGCTCCACTATCACTATGAGCCCTCACAGCTGCTTCTTGTTAAGATTTCTCCCCAGACTCTGCATCTCTGTCCACACAGTGGCGCTGCTGTGCAGAACAGCAGTGAAGTGTTTTACTGGGAGAGGCTCAGCTTCCCCCTTAGCACTGAGAGTCTGTGCTGTAGGTTTCTGTTTCAGGAACACTGGCACAGAAGCTCAGGAAGAACCACACAGCCACAGTATTAGAAAATATCCCAGTTTATTGCAGCATCTCAGTTCTGAGAGTTTTACAAAACAATGTATTTACAGGTAAGGAAGGGACTAAGCTGGAGTGTGCTTTGCTGGGGCAGGAACAGACTACAGAGGAGAAAGGAAGAAAATCAGCACATTCAAAAGTCACATTTTTCTTTACAAAAGTAAGACAGGTGTAAGGCTGGTGTGCACAGCTCATTGGTGTCGTCCTTGTGGGGAGCACTCCAAGAAAAATTCAGTGCAGCCCTTGTGCTCTTCACAGTGATTCCAGGCACCTGGGGCTCAGCAGAAGCTGTATCAGCTCAGCTCAGTATGATGTTAAGGCACAATGCAGTGATGCCAATGGCTCTGGGTCTCCACATGTGCCAGCAGCTCTGCCTGTGGCTTCTCTCATAGCGAGTGATAGTGTTTGAGCCCTGCCCATGGCTTTCTTTGGGGTGAGTGATGGCTTTGAGCTCTGCCTGTGGCTTCCCTCAGGGTGAGTGGTGGTGTTTCAGCCCAACATCTCTCTTTCAGGCCCCCGGTCCTGGACTTGGCCAAGCCAGAAGCAGAGCTGGACAGAGGACAGAAGGAGGAGACCATGGTGTGGGACAAGGGAGGGATTCCAAAGGGAATCTCCCCAAAACAATGGTAAGACCTCCATAAGGCTGAAAACCAGAGAAAGGATATGGACGGCTGTTTGAAAACAAATGCACCACTTAGAATATATGCTGAAACCTTGTTTTTGAACTTGTCCAATAAAGTTTGCCTCTAAACACAAACTGTTTGTCTTTTTTTCAATTAGATTTTTTTTAAAGTTTATTACTATATGAAATCTTGAATGATGGCTCATTCAAATTGTTCATGGGAGCTGCACTAGCTTACCCCCCCAAGAGAAACTTCTCCAAACACAGATTTCTCAGACTAAGGCCTACACCCAACCATCAGCTTTGGCTGCACATGGAGTCCCAGGCGCTCACAGCGAGGTAGAGGGAGGGTTGAAGTTCACAGTAGAGGCTGTGCATGGCTGGCACTGCCAAGTGTCTTCAGCCAGCGCTGTCCAAGAGGTGTCCAGGCAGGGATCCATCCCTAGAGGCCTGTGTGCTCCTGGATCCAGTCTCGCAGGCTCGTGAGCCGGCTGTACACCCCAGGTTTGTTCCTCTGGGCACAGCCATCGCCCCAGCTCACCACGCCAGCCAGGAACATCCGACTGCTGGGCTCCACACTGACCAGGGGCCCCCCAGAGTCTCCCTGCACAGAACCACACAGGAGCATAAGCACCAGCCCCATAGATCACTCTCGTGCACAGTGTTAAAGTCACTCACAAAAACTGAGCAAGAAATAATCAGTAAATCTCTGTCTAAGTCAGCTGTCATTACAATTTTTTGGCCATTCCCTGAAACAAATATTTAAGCACAGCAGTAAGAGCCACAGTGCCAGAACAAAGAGCTATAAAATACCAGTCAAGCAGCCTGGCTTGCTAACTAAGGCTCTGAATAAAAGCCAGAAATTGGAGTATGGCTGTATATCGTATCTGGTGAGATGGAGTCTGGGCTGTAGTTTTTGAGCTGTAAGTCATGCATCAACATAACTTGCTGCTGGTGCCCATTGTAATCTGTTCATTTTCTGAATCCAGGAGAATTCCCATAGATTTGTTTTATGTTAAAAATGTAAATATAAGTGGAAGCACATGAGCAAAGGACTGTCTCCCTGCCTAATAACCAATAACCAGCACTAAATCCAGGTGCTGCCTTACCTGGCAGGCATCCACACCCCCGGTCAGGATCCCCACGCACATCATGCGTGGTGTCAGCTGGTCTGTCAGGAGCTGGTTACACACAGTCTGGTTGATGAGCCGGATCTCTGCCTTCTGCAGGATGGAGGCTCCTGTGCCTGCCAAGATGGAAGAGCATCATAAGTAAAAATACCCATTTTTTAACAGCTCCCTGTTTTTCCCTCAAGAAACACAGAAATCATACACTTGTAGAATTTCAGAATGGTTTGAATTTGAAGAGAACTAAAGCCTGTCTTGTCCTGTGCCACAAGTAGGGACAGTTTCCACTACACCAGGTTGCTCCAAGCCCTGTCCAATATGGCCTAGAATGCTTCCAGGGATGTGGCAGCCACAGCTTCTCCTGGCAACCTGTTTAAAATACATCAGTGCAGCACCAAATCACATGCCAGTGCTCACCTCCTTCTGCAGTTGCTCCCCATCCAGTCACCCACAGGTCCTTGCCCACAGGGAAGTTGTGGGTGGCATCGGGCAGGCAAATGGGCTGGACGACAGCTGTGAAGGTGACAGGGCTCTGCAGCTCCAGCACAGCAATGTCATAGTCGTAGGTGTAGTCATTGAAGAAGGGGTGGGAGATGATGCGCTTGATTTTGCGGGTTTGCACATTGGGGCCGCTCCGGTCACCTTGGTCAGTCAGCCCCAGGTAGGCTGTCCATAGGCTGGGATCTGAATACCTGCACAGGGGCCATGACATACAGGGTGAGACATCATCTTGGAGACAGCACTGCTTACTACCTTAAACAGTTTCCTTGAGGAATGCCTCTCAGAGTCAGTGTTGGAATATTGTGGTTTAGGTCGCCACAATATAAGAATATTAAACTATTAGAGAGTTTCCAAAGAAGGGCAACGAAGATGGTGAAGGGCCTTGAGGGGAAGCCGTATAAGGAACAGCTGAGAGCACTTGGTCTGTTCAGCCTGGAGGAGACTGAGGGGAGACGTCATTGCAGTTACAACTTCCTGTGTGAGGGAGAGAAGAGGGGTAAACTCTGATATCTGTTCTGTGGTGCCCAGTGACAGGACCAGAGGGAACAGCCCGAAATTGTGTCAGGGGAGGTTTAAGTTGGGTATCAGGAAAAGGCTCTTTTCTCCAGAGAGTGGCCAGGTACTGGAACAGACCACTGCTTGATGCAGGGCAGTGGCCACAGCATAAAGCCTGACTGAGCTCAAGAAGCATTTGGATGATACTCTCGGACACACGGTGTGACTCTTGGGGATGGTGCTGTGCAGGGACAGAAGCTGGACTCAGTGATCCTTGAGGGTTTCTTCCAACTCAGCTTATTCTGTGGTTCTGTGAAATAGCTGGAAGGACAGGGATATGAGCCCAGTACCTGATGCCCTGAAGTGGCAGGAAGCAGTGTGCTGCCGACACCAGCCAGCTTGCTGACACCAGCGAGGCCCCACAGATGTGGCCCTGGCCCTTGACGTGCAGGCTGACCTGCCAGGGCCACTCTCCCACGTCCGAGTTCTGCCCACCAACGATCCGCGACTTCCTGATGTAGGAGCGGAGACCACAGTCTAGGGCAGAGAAGGAGAACGGGTGCTTGGTTTCTCCTGTTCTCATCCCATGCCTCCCCTCTGTTCCTCCAGGACATCTGACAGCACAAATACCCTGTTTACACATGTCAGGAAGGGTTGATGTTCTCTGCACAGATGCTAAATTAGCTACAACATTTACTGGCCAACTCTATAAAGGGGAGATAAGCCCCTGTATTACCCGTCTAAGCCTTCCTGAATAACACAGACACCCCACAGGCCACTAAAGAACGTGGCTTGGATATTTCCAGATCAAGCTCCTGTACAGAAACACACAGGGGCTCTCTCTGCCACACTGGGGTGTTTCTCTGAGAGACCCAGCCCAGAGTCCCATGTCTCCCCTATTCCTGAGGCACTCACTGCAGTTGTCCTCATCAGAATGGTCCTCACAGTCCTGCTCCCCGTCACACTCAGGGTTCTGTTTGCTGATGCAGTGTCCACTGCGGCACTTGTACGTGTACTCCTTGCAGGGGACCGTGGTCTGGCCTGCTGCAGGCAGGATGGAGGCACAGGGGTTAGTCCCAGTTCTGGGGAGGTCACATCAAGTCCACCTCTTCTGCCCAACCCCAGAGCATTTACACCCCATGCAAGCACACACATGAGGGTGCCCAGCCCCAAGGAATTCCATCAGAGGCTGCGTTTGCTGGCAGTCACCCTCCAGCCGACCCTCACCTGTGCTGCAGCTGCCCTCATCGGTCCCATCCCCGCAGTCATCCTTGCCATCACATTTCTGTGTGCTGGGGACACACTTCCCGTTGTCGCACTTGAAGCTGTCAGCTGGGCAGCCTGGGGACAGAGAGCAGCTCCTGAGGGCTGGGCATGAATCGTGCAGCACCTCAGCACACGGCTGTGCCCAGCTCCCCTCCCTGAGACAAGTAAAGCCTCTGCAGCTCCAAAATACTGTGTCTCCAATCTCTTCTCCAAACTGCACACCACCACGCAGTTATTCAGCCCTTACTATTCCTACACCACTGCTCATCCTTCTTTCCTCTGAGCTCTCATTCACCTGTATCAGGTGAGCGCTCATCATGCCTGGGCTTTTTTGCCTGCTCATTTCCAGCACAGCACTTCCCTCCACCCCACTAGCCTCCATCACCCTAGTTGCCCCCTGTGTGCCTGCTTGAGCCCTCAGTCCTTTGTGCCTGCAGGGTGAGTCACTCACTGCACTGTAGCTCATCGCTGTTGTCACCACAGTCGTTCACGTTGTCACAGACCCAGAACCTGGGCTTGCACCAGCCATTCTGGCACTTGAACTGCTGCTCCGTACAGGCTGGAAGAGCAGAGTAAGAATCACAGGATCATTTAGGTTGGAAAAGACCTCCAAGACCATCAAGTCCTACCTGAGACCAATCACCACTTTGTCAACCAGACCAGAGCACTGAGTGCCATGTCCACTCATTCCCTGGACACCTCCAGGGACGGGGACTCCCCTGGGAAGGCTGTTCTAATGCTAGAAATTAGGGGAGAGGCCTGCAAAGACACCTGTGAAGTCACCAGCAACCCACCCACCACGGCAGCTCTCCCAGTGGGTGTGCAAGCACTTGGAAATCCCAGAAACCAGCTTGGGACCATGCACATGTACATAAATACACTACACACACAGTACATCACAGTATTCCCACTTCTCTGGAGAACAAAGCCATTTGGAGCTGTTGTGTCTGAGGTAGTGGAGGCTGAAGCTGACATCACAACAGCAGGACAGCCAGAGGCAATACTGAAGGAAAGCAATTGCTGCAAGCAGTGGGAAAGCATCTGAGAAACCAGGATCATGGGGCAGCAGCACATCCTTCCCCAGAAAACTGCTCCTTCCAAACCAGGGCACCTCGTCCTCTCTAATAAACTGCAGACCCTGGACAATAACATTAACTATAGGACAGCTGTGCTAATCCAAGAGGAAAACCTGTTACACAAAGAAACAACTCCTGTGTGTCCCATGGGTTTTCCAGATGAGCTCTGCAAAGCCTGCCCAGTTGGGTAATGAAATGTGTCCCTCCACACCACTCAGCTCAGCCAAACCCACAATCAGCAGGATTAAACAGAAAAACACATTCCCAGCTGGAAAGAACTGGAAAGAGAGGGCGATGCCACTGGGAGAGGACTGGTTTAGCAAGAGCTCACAGCTCTTAGGCTGAGAAAGGATCCCCAATTGTGCACCGAGCCTCACTCCAGTCTGGAGGAGGGCGGCAGTGCTGGTTCCAGCCAGCACTGAGTCACAAGTGCTAACAAGCCTAACAAGCCAGAACAAGCCTAACCACCCCATGGTTAGGCACCATGGCCTTTCCATGCTGTGCCAAAGAGAAACCAAAGGCTGGACTTACTGCAGGACCTCTCATCACTGCCGTCCACACAGTCCAGCCACCCATCGCAGCGCATGCTCCTGTCGATGCAGCGGCCAGTATTGCAAGTGAACTTACCAGGGCAGGCTGAGAGGGAGAAAGGGACAAAACCACACATGAGCCCTCTTGGTGTCCCCTCTACATCCCTTTTGCAGAGTTTCCTATGCCTGCTTACAGCAGAACACAACAGGAAGACCAGGAGGTTTTCAGGAAAGCAAGGCATGCTGCTATGCCCCTATGGAAAAGGCTGCTTCCCATTTACAGGGCAGTGTAAACACAGAGGAGGGACAGCTCCACATCTCAGGGAAATTACTTTCCCCTCCCCAGCCCCAGGGTTTCAACTCACGGTCACTGGAGTCGTAGGACAGGAACTCTGCAGAGAAGCCTGTGTCTGTGTAGGACTGGTCCGAGTGGAACCGGAGCTCAATTTTGTTGGTGGTACTGGCCACCACAAACTGGGAGCGCTCCCCACAGTACCTGCAGGGAGAGAGCAAACAGGAGTCAAAAGGCTCAAGGTCAGCACCAAGAAAACCTCCTTCTATCCCTGATCTCCCTCCACACTCGGGAAGCTGAGAGGGCAGGAGAGCAGGGAGCAGGTCTGATCCCAGCACAGACTGCTGGGCCTCAGGGTCCGAATTCTGCTGCTGCTGGCAGAAGGTTTGGGCCAGATGTAAACACCAACTTGTGACTTTAGGAATGGCCGGGAACAAGTTCTTCCACATCCTTGCCTGCCCTACAATGTGTCTGATCTCAGATACACTGGGCTCAGGCAGGATCCCATCTCACCATGGGCAGATTGGATCACGTACGTGAACAGCACTGCAGAGGCAGGTGCTGACTTTGATACCCTCTCTCTGAGGCAGGGTCAGCTCCCTTGTCCAAAACATTGTGAAACAAGATTAATCACCTGCCTCTGAGATTCTAAGTTTTCTCTCTGGCCCAGCTTATATCAGGCTGAGGAATGCATCTAGAAATGCATCACAGGATATGAGTGCCCTGAGAATGGAGAGCTGCTCGTTCAAGCAAACCTACCCCAGATGTTCCTGCCTTCCCACACATGAGCTATGTGCTGTGATGTTCCACAGCATCTGAGGGGTGGTTCAGCTGCAGCACACCACAGTACCAAGTGTGGGACTCCCCACTCATCATGGGGCAGTCCTGGGCTGAGGCAGCTGTGGGGTTTTCAGGGTCTCCCCCGAAAATGACTGCCGTGGGCCTCCCAAACAGAGAAGTCCAGTTAAGCACAACCTGTTCGGGCCCCTCAGGCAGGCTCCAGGGCAGCAGGCAGTCTTAGCAAGCTCAGCTCTTAAGTGAGCCCAGCTCTTTAGTGATTTTCAGCTCATTAGTGATTTTCAGCTCTTTTGCTTGTTAAGTACCTTTGGCAGATGCAGGGAGAGAGAGGAGAAGCTCTGTGTGAGGTTCCACAGAGATGTCTTTATTGGTATCTTCTGGAAAGGGTCTCAGTGACAGCTCTTCTGCCAAACTGGGCAAAAGTAGGGGTTTATATAGGGTACAGGAGTTTTAGGAAACAGTCCAATAGTAAAGGTTGAGGCAAAAGTGACCTATAGTCTTACAGAGAGATAACAAGGGTCTGAAGGAAGAGGGGCTTCTTTTGGTCCAGTCATCATGACTAGGCATTTCCTGTCTTAGCAGGTCCTGTGCCTGCTACACTGGGCACCCTCCTGCCTCCTCCCAGCCCTCAGAGCACCAGCACACTTGTTCCCACAGCAGATTAAGGAAAGCACCAGTTAGTGTGTAAGTAAATGAAGCCACTCCATGGGTTCAGCCACCCAACACCCACCTTGTGCCGTTGATCTGCACATAGTCTTTGGTGCAGGAGCTGACTGGGATCCCAGGCTCCAGCACAAAGAACATGTTGAAACGCACCTTCACATTCTTTCTAGAGGGAACCTGCAAAAGGAAGCACGTCAGTGGGATGTTCCTTTCTGGAGCAAGAAAAAAGGAATAGTTTCACAGGAAGAGGGTTGTGCTTGAGGGAGGACAGAAGATAACTAAAAAGGGGAAATCAGTTTTCTAGCAGGAAAGAAACAGCTTCATAAAAGTCCCTGAGTCACCCTGGCTCCAGAATCCCCAGTGGAACAGGCATACAGAGGGGTGGAAGCCAGACCTGTGGTCAACAGCCAGTGACTGGCATGTCCCAAATCTCCCACTCTCATCCTTCTTGCATGAAGTTACAGGATTTTTCATGGTCTTCTGTGGGGTTCAGGCCTCTTACAACCTCTTCTGCCTTTGCCTCCAGTTCCTAAAGGCTCCCGCAATCATGCCAGACTTGGAGCCTCTGGGCCCCAGTTGCTGTGAGCTCCCTTGCATCATGTCCTGTATGACCAGGGTCATTTGACAGACTTGTTAGGGGAAAGAGAGGGTCCATCTCACCTCAATGTTCCAGACACAGTCCATGTCTGGGGGGTAGTGTGCTGGGTAATAGGGAGTTGTGAAGGTGCCACTGTCTCCCTTCAGGGTCTCACCACAGGCTAAAATCAAGCAGGAAGGTAATAACAAATTAGAGATTTAGATGTGGTTTTTCCAAGCCTCAGCTGGCTGTCATTGGAGGCGGTGGCAACAGTCTCTAACATGGTTAAGTCACTCTCTGGAGAGAGCAGCTTTGCTCCAAGGCTTGAGAGAACCCAGGAGATCAATTAGGTGCTTCCATCAATCTGCATGTCTAATCCAACATAATACTCATTTTTGCCTCCTTGGGGAGCATCCTTACTGCAGTCAAGAACACCGTAGGCAAGGCAAGCACCTGCTTCCAGGTGCTCCAGCCCTGGAAACATCCCTGGCAAACTGACCCCAGCCACAGCCACCTCCCTGTTCAGCTGCCCATGGCAGGGAGACATGGGGAAACAGGTCAAGGCCTCTGCTCACCTTTCATCTTTGGGAGCTGGAAGAACTCAGCCTTAAAGCCAGGGAATCGTCCCTCCTTGTTGGTAACCAATGTGACTAGCATGACGTTCTGGGAGGAGAGGAAGGTCAGGTTGTAGGATGGGGCATAATTCCCACAAAGTCTAGGAAGCAAAGGACAGAATTCGTAAGGCACTACTGCACAGGGAGCCTCAAGCAGCACAGCTCAGCTCTGAGCAGGAGATCTCAGGATCACCCCAGACTTGGTGCCATACAGGAACACCCACCTAACCAAGGCATGGGGCTCCACGGGGCTCAGAGAGTCATACACCTTGATGTAGTCACTGTCATCTCTGCATGGCTCCAGCTCCAAGGTCTTGAAGGTGAGACTGATGCTGGAACTGGCATCTGCCCTCAATGCCCAGTAGCAGAGGGCATTGTTGGGGTATGGGCTGTTGGGGAAGCCTGGCGTGGTGAAGCTGGTGACCTCCCCTTCCTTGGCATGAAGGGAGAACATGCAGCTGTCTGCCCAGAGAGTAGAGAACAGTTAACAAGGCAAAGAAGCCTTGCCCTGCCTTTCCCTGGGATGCAGAGAGTAATTCCTGAAGGCTATCCCAGGGCAGATACCTCTTCCTGGATAACAGCAAGGCCTATGCCACAGTCTGTCCAACCCCAAAACAGCTCTAAGAATCACACTGGGGTCTGCCTTGCATGCAGAGAACCTCTCTCCAGACCCTTCCCCATCCTGCAAGAGAAACACCACCCTAAAGAGACCACTGAGATGGAAGAAGAACTGTACTTACTGTCCCGGGCGGAGTGAGCTATGCTGGGGTCCACAGCTGCAGGAAAAAACAGAGCTGACATCACCCTTTGGGCTATGGGAAATCCCTGGGCACAAAGCCAAGGTTGTTCCTCAGACTGTCATTGATCTGGCCTCACTTGTGGAACCTCTCCCTGCAAACTGGCAGGAGAGCTCTTTCCTGGCCTCTGGGAGCTGAGGGAGCAAACTTTCCCTCTACAGAGGGAGAACTCATCCTTGTCCCTCTTCCCTGGGCTCAGAGGAGAACACAGCATTTCAGCAAAGGGGAACAGGTCCATGCAGCCCCCTTTAGACTCTACATCCCATTAAGCTGTGCTGTGACATCCAGGCCCTTACACCACCCTCAGGGCTGGCTTTCTCATGAGAGGGCTGTGACCAGCACCTTCTCCTTCCAGAGAAATATCCCACCTGATCCCATGCAGAGGCCCAGGGACAGTGGGACCGATACTCACGGAAAGCAATGACTGACTCCACCTTCAGCATGGGGTTTCTCAGGCGCGGGTTCCACCTCTGCACCAGGCTCTGCTTGTCAGCCATTGCCCTGTCCAGGCTCTCTTCCCGGTATTTGGGCACAAGGAATTCTGACCAGTAGTAGGCAATGACACTGCCTTCACTGTGGAAAGGGTAATTGTGGGATGAGGGCAAGGACAGACATGGGAGGACTCAAATACCACTAGAAGGGGCCAAACTACTTGATTAGCCAGTTTTTGGAGCCTGGCCACAAGGAAGGGAGAGTTTCATTACAAGTTAAGCAAACAGCAAAGGCCCCTGCCAGCCTGAGCAGTCTCTCTCAGTGCTGCCAGGCACCACCCACTGCAGTTCACTTGATTTTTCCCAAGACATCTGGCAGAAAACAAAATGTATTTTCAGGTCACTTTTTACTGCTCACCCTTTCCTGTGTCATTCAGGGTGATTACGGGGTACTTCTATCCCAGCATCCTGGGAAGGAGGGTAAATGGCTGATGTGATATCCTGGCATCCTAGATGGGGCTCAGGCAGTGCCTAACACTCACCTGAAGGCAGTGATTACTGTCTCTTTGTGATAAGGACCAATATCAGCATGATTCTTGTAGATCTCCTCCACCTGAAAGGATTAAAAAGAGGTGTTCAGCATGTCTAGAAGTGAGGAAAAGGGAAAGGCTGAAAATAGACAGAGCTTCAAGCCTGCAAAGGAAAACCAGGGCACATCCCTGGCATCCCTGTGTGCAGGAATCTGCAGAGCCAAAGAAAGAAAGAAGGAGAGTTGAGAGCCCCAGAAGAGCACAGAGCTGCCCATCACAGCCTGTTCTGACTCAGCTCACCCACTCTTCCCTGGGGAAGGTGAATCCCCAAGTCTGAGGGAAGAGGCACAGCTTCAGCCTCTTTTAGACACCCTTTTAGCTCAGTTCTTGGCCCTGATTCATCCAGTGATTCTGGGACGTGCCCTGGCAGCTCCTATGGCACCAGTAGATGCCATGGCACTGGGCTGGAGCTGGGATGTCAAGATCCAGCTCCAAAGAAGGTCCCTGCTCCCAGCCAGTGTGACACAGTGAGCAGGGAAAGCTCCAAGGAATCTTACATGGCATATCCCCATGGCCATGGGGCAAGAGGAAAATTCCTTGCTTGTAGAAGGAGGGAGGCAAGAAATCTCTTACCGTGCTCTTCACCTTCTTGGCCAGCATACTGAACTCTGGAGAGCTGGAGTTCTCATAGGCGTCCAGGAATTCCCAGTTCAGAACCCGCAAGTGGCCATTGAAAACCTTCTGGACAGGTGTGTTCCTATCTGGAAGAGAACAGCTCAGGGTCAGGAAGGGCAATCAGAGCTGGGACTGGTGCCACAGCAGATCCCCAGTGACAGCAATTGGGGCAGGGAGGTGGAAATGGTGTCTCCAGAGCTTGAGAGGGCACATGTGAGCAACACCGGGTAGCAAAGCTTTTCCAAGTGAACGGATAGGTTCCCAAGGTGTTACCCTACATGTCACCACCCACCAGACGTCACACTCACATTTGAAGTGCCAAAACAGGAGGCCAGTGGTGAGGGAGACAAGCAGAAAAACAATGATCAGGACAGTGATGACCACCTGCCGCTTTGGGCCGCGCTTCTCCATCTTCTTGGAGTTCATGGCAGGGAGGAACTCCACCCCTTCATCCAGGTTGTTCATGTCCTGGGAGAGGAGGGAAGGCAGGACAGTGAGAAAGCTGTTCTCAAAGCCTGGCTTGGGGAGGTCCAGCCACAGAGCAGCCTGAAGCAGGTCTGGGGACAAGGAATGCGGCAGCACTGAGAGCAAACCTCAGTGTTGGCAGCTCCACAGCCATGGCAGGACAAACCCTGAAGGTTTCTTCTTTGCTTTTCTGCACACACCTAATTCCTTTCTGGGCCTAATTTAACGTCATGACTTCAAGCACACTCAGGGGCAAGTCCACACACCCTCCTGTGACCATGGCAGGTCACAAGCCCACAAGCTCCAAGATCTGCCTCAGCAGATGAAACTGCAGAGAAAAATTCACCCCCACAAAGTGCTCGCGTTGTGCAGGTGTGTCACCCAGAGCTCATGGGGCACAGCATGCTATAAATAGCATTTCCCTAATAGAAGAAATCAAGCTGCTTCCTTCCTTTACAGCTTTTTCACAGCTCTCTGTCATGCCTCCTGAACCAGCAGCACTTCTGTGTTTCTGCTTAGAATCTCTCATCCAGCACAAATACTTGCTAAAAGAAATAAACCAAAAAATTAAGAAGAACACACAAAACATCCCCACAACCCACGAGCAGCCATGCTCCCGGGACAAGACGTGGAAGAGAGGAATGAGGAATGACACAGCTCTTGCTGTCATCATAATGGGCTGAGTGAGGAAGTGGAAGATGTGTTGAAGCATTGAGCTCTGTATCAGCTGTAAAATCTGAGCTCTATATCAGCTGTAAAACCATTGGTATCCCAAGGTTTCAGTTTCTCACACCTTCTGTTCTGTTCCTCCATCCTTGTCCTGCTTGTGCATCTGTACCTCTCACCTGGGGGGGAGCGGGGGGGAAGGTTTGGACAGCTGCAGACCCAGATGTTTTTCGAGGATCCCACACAGCATCTTTGGTACTGTTGGACATCGTGGGGGCCCAGATCCACACCTACCCTGGCACCTCCTCTCCTACCAGCACTGCCAGTGGTGTGGCCAGAGCTCACCACATCTGCTTCTGATCTGTGCCTCCCTTGGGAAGGAAGGGCTCTGCACATGCTGCAATGGCCCAAAACAGGAGGATCCTTCACCTTTCTGCTCACCACCTTCCCATTTTCTCCTTAGCAGGAATTCAGCAGCTTCCTGAGCTCTGGAACCTCAGCATGGACACCACAGCACAAAGTGCCAACTCACACAACTCTGTGGCATTTCCACATGCCCCATGCTCCAGAAGGGTAAAGCTGTCTCCACAAACAGAGGGTCAGACTCTGCCTGCCCTCTCTCAGCCCAGGGCTCACACAAACCTACTCCAACAGCTTGGGTTAATTTGAAGCAAATGTCACAAGCCCCTAAATTAAGGAAAAATATGTACAAAGGGGATATAGCTTGATAGAACACAAGGGAATGGCTTTGAAACAAAAAGATAGCAGGGTTTGACAGGATACTGGAAAGAAATTCTTCCCTCCGAGGGTGGTGAGGCCTTGGCATAGGTTGCCCAGAGAACCTGTGGCTGCCTCATCCCTGGCAATGTCCAAGGCCAGACTGGACAGGGCTTGGAGCAGTCTGGTCTAGTAGAAGGCATCCCTGCCCATGGCAGGGGAGTGGGACTGGATGGGCTTTAAGGTCCCTTCCAATCCTAACCACTCTGGGATTCTATGAAAAACAACTAGCAAAGGGGATCCTGCTAACACAGGGATCTCTGAGCCTGCTGTACAGACATAAGGAAAAAGCCATCTTCACTGCATTTCCTCACTGAACTTCCAGCAGGTACTTCATCTTATCTTTCCTCAGCCTTGCCTGGCAGGAAAGCCCAGCTCCCACCTGAACCATTCCCCCACTTCTTTTGCCCTTTTCTTCACCCAATGCCTGTGCTCTCCTCCCACCCTCCACACCCCATTGCAGCCTCTCCTCCTTGCAGTATTTGCCCAGGGCCCTTCAGAACAGAAAGGGAAGGGGCAGGCACCTTACTCCGAGTTGTTGTCAAGGACTCTGTAAGTTTAATCCTCTGCAAACACCAGAAGACCACCAAGACCAGAGCAACTCACCAGTTTTCACATCACCTGCTCTCAGAATCCTCTCAGTTTATTATTTGGTGGTTCAGGGAAGGAGCCTTCATTCATTTTTGAGTTTTACTGCCTAAGGCTAGACAGAAAGAACTGTTTCCATCCCCAAAATCCACCCACCTCCAAAATAAAGAGACCTAGCAGGGCTGCAGAGGACAATGCCATGGGGAATGCTCTGAATCCTGTTTGGCTTCTGATCATACAGGAAAAGCTTGAAGATATAACCCAAGGAAACTTTCAAACAGATGGCACACAAAATAAAGCTTAAATACACAGAGACATCCTAAATCAAGAAATTCTTCAATCAAAATCAAAACTACCTGGAATTTGACACACTGTCTTCCAAACTAGCTCCTACCAGTTTTCCAGTCATGAAATAAATCCCCCCCAAAACCGGGTAAAGAGAAGAAACTGGCCACAAAACTTGCAAACACATCCTCTCTCCCCCCACAGGGCTGCTCACAATGCAGAGCCTTCTCAGGACTTCCAAGGCATTGCTGCTGTTGATCAACATCTGCAGGAGTCTATGGCAAGAAGACATTCTCAGGCACTTAAATGATCTATCAGTTTCCTCAGACTTCCTGGAGCCAGCGAGGAAGAACTGCAAAGAAAACCAATTTTCCACAAGAAAACTCTTCAGCTGTGGGGACCTTCAGCCCTCTGCAGAGTTCATACACTTCTGTTTCACCAAACTGCCAGGAAAAAATAAGGAGCTCCTGCTGTGGCTGATGCATTTTAACATCCCCTTTAAGCTAAAGATTGTGTCCTTGCAGAGAGAAAACTCTCCCAGGGAGAAAATCATTGCTGTGATTAACTCAGAAGGCAAACAGAGCCCCCCTCTGCCTCCAGCACACACAGGCAAATGCACGGCTCGTGGGAGCAAGGAAATTAGACAGGAAAACTCACCATGCACTCTTTCTTTAGGCAATCTCTCTGCTTTCCTTGGAAAAAAAAATAGTATGAAAAAGCTAAACCTGGGAGTTTACAGTGCGCCTTCGTCAGTTTTTTCTTGCTCCAAAGCTGAGCCAGCAGCAACACAGAAGTGACAGGAGTTCAGGGACTTCTGGGAAGGTTACTTTTGTTTTTCCTCCAGTACAAGGTGCACAAGCAACCACTGACACTGTTACTTGCCAGAAGCTATCCCGTGACTACAAGCAGATAGGAGGCACGATCCAAAGAGGTTTCCCTCCCTACTCACCCTCTGTGTTGTATTCCAGCTCTCATCCTCTTCCATTCCCATACCCTATGAATGCCATTATGTTCCTCAGCCAACACACACACTTCTGTGAAGAGCCCTCACCCATCACAGCCTGGGTAAGGAACAGCCATTCCTGCAAACTCTTCCCAATACCCAGTGAAGAATCTGAAGCCTCTCTCAAGCACTGGAATGATGAATCAGGGCATGCAGAAGGTCTCAGATGAGGCCCTGTGTCGTGAACTCTAAGAGGCTGAAACCTCCCTGCCCACACTCTGCACAAAAACCACCAGTTTGACCTGAGGATAAGACTAGCCTGTGTCCCACAAGTGCAGCTCAGCCTCTGCCCCCTCACTCCCTGTGCTCCACATGCCCTTCGTGCCCAACACTTGGGAGGAAAAATACCCTGTCACCATTCTCTAAGCTAGACGGAAACCAGACAAAATCACATGCAAGACAGGCTCAAAGATTATGGTTAAATCAAGAAAAAGACAATTGCAATGTTAATCTCCTTTAGCTGATGGCTGCTGCACATTTCCCTCGCGTGCTCTGAACAGCAGCAGCTGTAAACTAGAGGAGCTGAACACGTACTGGGCTCACCTTGTCCATGGTTCCTCCAGAAACCGTCTCTAGCCTCAAGTGACTCAAGGTCTGACTGTCTCACCCTTCTCAAGGAAACTGCTCCAATAAACATTATTAACAGAAAACCTCCCTTGATATTCTCTCTGCCTTAGTCACTGCAGCAGTTACTTCCTTCTGCTCCTCCTCACTCAGTCCTTGACGGTACAGCCAGGCTCCCCACACAGGGAGTGTGACCCACACTGGTCACAGCATCAGCTGTGGCAGCAAAACCAATCCAGGGAAAAGTTCAGACAGGCACTGCCCCAGCTCTATCATGCCTCAATTTCCCCTGGAGTACCAACCCCATGAAGAAATTTTGAAACGAAGTGCACATAGATGGATTCATAGAGCGCTTGGAGGGCTCCTGCTCCTCTGCACAGCGTTTGAGCTCAGTCCTGGCGAGAGCAGACCTCCCACTCCTCCTTCTCTAAGCCACACAATGTATTTTTAGACAGTGACTGTGCTCTGTCCAACTGGACAAACCAGATGCAGAAGTGACTAATTCTGTCAGCAGGAAATTCAGCTGGCATAAGGGGGTGGTGGGAACCAGCTCTGCACTGGAGATCTTACAGGAAAGCAGAGATTCTCCTGCAGTGGGGGATCATGGAAAGGCTGGGATACGCCATGGAATACGGCTCCCCAGCATGATGTGTGCAAAGCAGGGGTCCCACAGGGAGCAGCATCCCCCAATGAGGCTGGTTTCTGCCTTTTCGGCACTCCCAGATGGTGATGTGTCCCAGGCACCAACCCCCTTACTGTTCCCCTCTCCTCCAAAACAGCTGTTCAATCTCTCCCTCAGTTTCTGCATCTGTTCAAAGGATTCTGACCCACAGGACTGGGCTCCTGGCCATTAGTTTCACCTGTCCTTTATGAACACCAGAAAATTTGTTCATCCAGCACCAGACATGAGATTTACCTACTTCCTTTGACTTCCCCAACTCCAGACTCTGCAGGTCTGCCACAGGACTGCTCAGGACCAAAGCTGCCCAGATCATACAAGGTAAGAGCAAGTGTGCAAACAAATAAAATCTCACAGGGAAAAAAGGTCACTGTCTGACACCAATGTACACAACCAAGAAAAGGAACCCATAAAATGCCAGGCTGGAGGAGGCATAGGGAGGTCAGAGATGAAGCAGAGTCATTGGACAGCATGGTTAGACTCTTGAGGGTAATTACAACTTGCAGATCCCAGCCTGTGTATCCAAGAGGCAATTCCCACCTCCCCTTTTGTAGCCACACCTGCCTCGGGTGGTGTTCAATAAAAACTAAAACAAATACCACATGAGAAACGAGAGGAATGACACCTGTCGACTGGGCCACAGTCTCAGGACATAGCCAGCAAGGCAGTTCAGAGCTCAGGAGACCAACACAGTGGGCTTGTGTGGCAAAGAGTTGTATTTTCAAAAGCTGAGAATTCCTGGATCATGTTGAAAGCCCACACCAGCTTTGTTGTGCTGGTACGAGGGAAAACAGCCTGTTACCCATCAGAAAAAGTAAAACAAATGTAAACAGCATGTGCAACTCACTTCATCCAAGTAGCTCAAGTACAGCTACAGCATCCTTAAATCAACTCCCTCACCAACTTTTGCTGCAAACCCAAATAACTCCTCTGGAAAAAGATCTGATAAGAATCATCTTCTCACTTCTCACTCTTGATAAGAAATAGATGGAAACAGCACACATGGGAAGCGAAGTTTACATAAGGCGTATTCATGTTGTGCCACCCCACCACAGGCAGCAAAGCACTGAAGAAACTTTACCAGTGCATTATTTTTTGTCTTCAGTTCTGTATTAAGGGCAATGAAGCTATAAAATGATGACATCAAAACTAGAAAGGGAATATGGGGCAAGAGCTCAAGGACAGAGTCCTCTAGACTGGGCACCTTCCAGGCGCAGAGGACAGGTGCAATAGTGAAAGATACAGGTCACACACACCTATTTCACATACCAAGTTTGAGCTTAACCCTCTACAGCAGATTGTCTTGTGATCACCCTGAGTCATATGAGAAAACTAATTCCTTTAGGTTTATTATAGAAGAAACTAATGTTAATTTTTGCAGAGATAGCATAGGCTTGGCTTGCTGTCCCATCCAGGCTGATGGGTGCAGCTCTGTCCTGCATCACAGCAGCTCAGAAAAAGCTACCATGTTTCTGTTTTTCTGTGGTACTAGAGGATTTTACACTTAAATCTTAGCAACTCTTGGGGAGAAGCTGGGAATAAAGGTACTCTACAGCCCTGATCTGTGTACCTATGGGCCATGAAATTCCTCCTTGCAACACACTGATGTCCCAAGAGCGGCAGAGAAACATGCCACAGATGCAAACAGCTCATTTAAATCACTTGTATGTCTTTCCTGGTACAGACAGAACTGTCTGGAAAACAGAACTGCCTCCAGCAGCTTAACCAAAGCAGCTGAGCCCCAGACCTCAGCCTCCACAATCCTTGTGACACTTTACTCATTCCTGAAGTTCTGAGGTGGATCAGGATCATGGGTCTCTGATGTTTGAAGCCAACAGCAAAGAAAACATGAGCACCTCCAACCAGGAAATTCTCTGTCTGCCAAACCCATCCCTGTTGGCTGCTCCCTCCCCATCCCAGTCCATGGCCCGGATATTGCAGGGCATATTAGCTCCCAGTCTGTCCCCAGCGGCCTTTGGATGGAAATGACACATTCTGCCCTGGGCAAGGGGAGAGAGAACCTTTGTACCGATACCTTCCCCAGAGCCAGGCCCTCAAAACACTCTCACTGCTCCCTCAAGGGTTTTACAGAGTGATCTTTCGTTTGCTGAGCAAAGGTCTGGCCTCAGCCCTTTTCTCATTGTGTCTTCCTTATCCCTGTTTGCTTTTGGCACCAACAGCAGCCAAACTGGCCCAAGCAGCAGCTCACCTGCCAGCCACTACCCCAAGGAAACTCTGCACCTTTCCAAGGAAGAGCAGCAGCTTCTCCTCAGCCCAAGAACTACAGCAGCTCCTTTACCAGCACAGGAGGAGACACAAGATGTTGCAAAACCACTAATTTCCTCCACTCTCATAAGGGGCCAAGTCCAACAACAGTCCATGGGTGACAAAATCCTTGGGTTGTTTCCTGCCAGGAGGGCAAGTACTGTCTTCAGGGAAGCTGCTCTGGATCAGATCTGTCCCTCTTAAACTGACACAGGGGGAAAACTGATCCAGAACTAGGGAAGGGACTCGCTTGAGCCCTCAGTCCTGCATAGAGACAAATCAGAGCACAAAGCTACCTTCTGCCAGGAGAACAAGCCAGGCAGGGAAGATCGTGTCCCACAGGTGCCACCCCAGCCTGTGGGACAAGGAGCCACCCCAGGGACAAGGAGCTTGAGCTGAACTGCTTCAGTGAGAGCATCTCCTTCCCACTCCCAGTCACGGCACACACCGGACAGTGGGATAGGAGGCAAGGGAAAATTTCTTGCTGCAGGCCAGCTTTTTGATGAGTGCCAGAACCAGCAGCTCCTATGTTGCTGCGAGATAATAACTACTAAAGCCAGGCCTCAGAGACGGACACCACACAGCCTGCTGGTAGGGTGGGAAATGCTGTTGTCCTGCTTTAACCCAAAACCCTGGGTTTGGAACAGCTCTGTGGAACAGAACAGGCTCTGGAGGTGCAACCCAAACTCAGCCATCCCTGCCCGACCCTCTGCCACGAAGATCTACACAAGAAGCTCACTCAAGTCTCAGAACACACTGATTATGCAGCGGTTAATTACTGAAGCCCCACAGCCCTCCCTTTACGACGCTTGAACACGTTTAGTTGGATCTGTTGCTAAACAACCCAGAGCCAGGCCCTGCACACAGCTTGCTAGCATGGAGTTTACCTTTACTCACAATCCCACTGCTTTAGCTGAAGCCGAAACCAAAAGCCCTGGAGCGACGGCAGCACCAACACCGAGGAGATCCAAAGCCGGCACTGACAGGCGATCTCCACTTCCCCAAAGCTGGTTTTTTTCTGCTCTGCTGAGCTCAGCAACGTCCCCCAAACAAGTTCTCCTGACCTTACCCAAGGGTGAGCTGGAATCCCCCCTTCCTGAGGGATCCAGAGCAGCCCTGAACCCACCAGGCTCGAAGGAACCAGACGAGCAGAGGACGAGGCATCTCGGCCCACGGCTGGCAGGTGTTGTGGGAGCTCCCCTGCCCAGGTGTGCCCTCACCTGCAGCTGGGTGCTGTACCGCACGCCGGCCCCGCTGGCCGGGGGGCCTCGCTCCATGGCCAGGGCAGTGCGGCGCGGCTCAGGCCGCCATGGCGCGGTGACTGCGGCTTGGGCACCGGGCCCGGCTCCTCCTCCCGGCGCTCCTGCAGGTGCGGGCAGCCGGAAACGCCCGCAGGTGCTGGGCCGCTCCCGCCTCGCCTCTCCACAGAAATACGGGAAAACACCGTGCCCAAAAGCCCCGCATCAGCTCTGCAACATCCAAGAGATCCTTCAGCCACAAGCTTTGCTTTAGCAAATGAAACCAGAAAAATCTTGTCTTCTAAGAGAGGCTGCCCTGCAATCGGTAGGAGGGCTGGCTGGCATGCAGAGATGCACAGTTCCTAAAGAAAAGCTTTGTGTATCCAGGGTCTCATCCCTCCTCCGGTGACAGCATTATCATGCTATGAAACCCTGCTGCAAAGAGGGCACTCTCAGCACGAACAGATAGTTTACCCCAGGGACAAGCCTCGTGCTCCCAAAAACATTTGGTACACTCAGAAGCAAAATATTACCTTTCCTCAGCCTGAAATCTGCCCTCAGCAAGGCTACATCAGTGTAGGAATGAGCTTTCTCTTGGCTAACAGAGATCAGATGCAACGTGAACAACACAGCAGTGCTGCAGAAACTGCTGTGCACCCAAACGTGGCACTCAGGGGATGCTCACATAGCCACAGCCCCTGGGGCCTGTGTGGTTTAATATTAAACAGAGAGGGAAAGGAGGAACTGGGGTTCTGAAAAAACTCTAATGCAGGCTTAAAAGAATTTGTAAAACTGAAAGCTGCATTCAATTTTACTTCACTATTCACCCTTTCTTGAAAAGATGATTCATACACACACTTTCCAATATTTAGGTTTCTCACATTCAAGAGCAAGTCGGGATTAAAACAGCTAGATCAAACTCACTCTTTCACATAAAAGTTCTTCCTTTCTCCATCTTACATGTGCCAATCCTTATGAATATGCAATATGGCCATTCAAAGTTGAACTGGCCACGCCACTGCTGAGCCACACTTTTTACACCAATTGCATCCTGCCCTGAAACTGAATTTTTTAAACACTTGAACACTTAAAACTGCCCAAAACTCTTGTTCTGGTACAACAAGAGTTGCTGATCACACGCAGAAAATACCTTGCTGAGTCTCCTTTGTTTCCCCTTGCTCTACGTGGTCTCCTGCGGAGCAGAAGTTTTGCAGGTTTTTTGCAGGTGGTTTTTTTGGGAAAAAAAAGAGAAGGAGTGAGGTCTCTGAGCCTGCTATGGTGTAGAAACACATAAACCACCGCCTTCCCTGCCCCCTCAGCAGCTGCCAGAATCCAACCCACCGCAGAACACGGCACAGGAGGCAGCATCCCCGAATTTAAGGTACTCCTTTTGAAAAGTGTTAGTCAGGCTGCTGATGTCAGGAGCTCTCAGTGCTCCTGCTGATGCCCAGCCCTGCCCAGCGCTCTTTTTACAGCCACTCCCTTACCTGCCTGGCTGCAGCCTGTCTTAACACCCCCGTGAAACAGCATATTTTGGGTACAAAGCAGCTGCTCCCAGCTGAACGACTGCTCCTACATTCTACACATTCTTCCTGTTTGGCGCATCCACTGATCTCCTCCAGGCCGATGGCAAGCAAACACCCGTGCATCAGGAATGTAGATGATGAGGGCAAAATGTGAGGATCCACAATCCCTGGTTCGACACCGAGCTGTGAATGCTCACTGCTCCCTGTCATTCAAGCCACTGACATTTCACAAACTAATTCACGAGCCCTCTTTGAACAAGGGGACACAGTCACCGTGGGGAAAGCCAGCAAGCAATATATGTGCAAAATGTAAATATTATACAGCTGGGAGGTGGCTAGTTCGAGGCCTCAATACCAGGATTCCGGTTTTTCTGTTGCTGGAACACAGGGAATTCCTTCGTGGCTGCGCTGCAGCCATTACCGAGTCACCGTGGTGGGAGCAGGTCCCCTCCTGGGCAGGGTACAACCCCAAAACATACAATAACAATTCCCAACCTGTCTGCCACGTGCTTTTTTTGGTGAGATACTTCCACGTCTGACTGAAAGACGCTGAGCGCAGCCGAGACACGGTGAAAACGCAATAAAGCATAAAGTTCAAGGCACTCACCTGCATGCAATGGCAGCAACCACCCGCAAAGCTTCTGTTTGCTCCCGCTGGAACCACTTTATCCAATAAAAGCTGTCACCTCCTCCTCCTCGCGTTGTCTCAATGTAGCCACAACAGCATCTTGAGAGCAGAGACGAGGTTTCGGAGGAAGGCGAGCCCTGAAATCTGAGAACCAAGTCCGGCTTGGTCAGAATCTGTGCGAGTTGCAAGAGCTAAATCGCCCTGAGCTCGAACCCCAGACAAGGATCAGCTGCAGGAGCAGCAAACTCTGGCAGGATCCTTCCGCGTCAGCTCCCAGCCCTGGGAATACCATGCAGGAGAAAGAAGGGAAGAACTGCTTACAGAAGGAATGAAGGCCGGCTGCCGGCGGGAGAGGAGTCTTCTGGTGAAGGCAATTGCCAGGAATTCTAGCATAGGAGCACCATCCATCCACACCAGCGACGGGCCAGATTCAGTAAGGGACGAAGGCTTTTCCTTCCCGTAGTATGGCTCAATGATTGTACTCTCAGCGCGACTCCCAAATTCAAATTTCAGCGACAGTGCCCTCCCACCCAGATTCCTGCCAGGCAACCCTGAAACCACCCCATCTCACAGCTCAATCCGGTCCGGCAACTTCTAAAGCATTACAAAAGACTGGGAGAGAGATAAAACTCACAGGGTGTCCTGTTACTTTGCATTCCAAAGAGTAAATAAAAGGCTGATTCAGTGGGAGGAGAGGAAAACGTCATCCAGCAGCGCTGTGCTTTCCAGCTGAACAGGCAGCCCCCAGAGCAAGGGCTGGGTACCGCTGGGGATGGGCACAGCCACCTTGGGCTGATCCAGCCTCTCTATCTGCAACGCAAGGGAATAATTACTGACTGTGGAGAATGGGAGCTGGAAAGGCGTAGCGAGTTGCTCTCAATTGACTACATGCTGCTCTGGGGCAGAACAGGGAGGTGGCACTCCCCTTCCCAAAGCTGTTCAAGGGTTACTGTGTCATTTGGATGGAAACTTCTCCTTTGATCTCAAATGTTTCTCTCACGAGCTCAGGAATGAGAGCCCTGCCCCCAAAACATGATTTTGGCAGAGATCAGAAGTAGCTTTGCCCTCCTGAGACCGTGAAAGCTGGCCAGAACTAAGGGGTCTAGTGCCCTGCTCCATCTCAGGGATGTCATGGGCATAAGGGCAGCCTCCAACACACCCCAGACAGCTCCTAGAATCGCTTCCAAAATCCAGGAGGGTAATTTCCCGTGCCTCTGCTTCTGGTGCCAGCTACGGGGCTCCCAAAGGAATACAAAGCACTAGGAAACACTAGGATGTAACCTTGCTGCCGGGACTATAAAGACAGCCAGGTCTCCTTGAGCTCTTCAACGCTAGAAAGCAGAGAAACTCTTTTGTGAGCTCTGAATCAGCAGCAGTGTTTGCCAGCCAAACTGTGAATGCAAGAGTGGACAGGCCTGACCGCCTGGTTTCTGGCACCGTGTGTTTTGAAACCAGTGGGCACGCCCAAGGCTCCAAGTCAGGTAAAGTTTGTCTTCTAACGAGCTGCAAATGTGTAAACTGAGGCCTTGACTTAGCTTAAAGCAGAGTGCCCTTTCACCCTCCCCCAGATCTGTTTGACTCACCTCAACACAAGCTGAAAATTAAGAATACAATAAATCCTGTCAACCAGCCTAATTCAGCTTTGTAATTATAATTACAAAGGACTCATCCCTCCGACTGGGGGCTCTCCTGGTCACAACTGCCTGAAAACAGACTAAACTTTCCTGTTGCCCTTCAAAGGAACAGGGTGCTAATTTTCTGCCAAAAAATACTTAGGGCTTTTTGGGAAATACTCAGCTTTGCACATTAACACGTTCCCTCCTCTCAGCTGTCCTAGCAGAGGCTGGAACAACAGCCCAGCTAAGTTTAGGATTTTTGGTAAAGTACAGAGGCTGCATATGACATTGCAATTATAAAAGTGACAGGACAGATAACAACCTTTGCACCAGCACCTTCACAGCCATTTCAGGGACCATCCTAAGCTGGAAGTCACTTAGAAGCCACTCTCAGTACAGGAGCACTGGCAGACCCAAAAGCTCAGCTTACCAAGTTACTGATTGTCATTAAGGTACTCAGGACATTCCTAGCCAGTGAAACAGAACTTACTTCCTTACACAAACAAAGGGAGTGCAAAGGGAGGTCAGTCATTCATAAAGCCGCAGTGACTAGAGGGCTTGTGACTGTCTCATATCCATAATTTCACTGTGTAACTGAGTACACAAGAATAATTCTCATCACAGGCTGACTTACAAGAACTCTCCTTAAGCAGTTTAAAAGCCCTCAGTGCAAATTCCTTTTGGGTTTGTTTGTTTGTTTTTTTTTTTTTTTTTTTTTGAGTAATCCAGCATATTTTTATATGTATAGAAGCATATTTTTGTATGCATGTCTTGTAAATATCAAGCAGCCATTGCTTCCCCAAGCACAAACCAAAAAGTTTCCATAAATTGCTTCAGAATAACAAATAGAAACATTAAAGCCACTTGCCACGTTTCCAAAAAATGCCAGCACCTTGCAGGTCCCTGTTAACTCTTCAAGCAGTGTCAGCATGCAGGGAGAGCATCCTGACCTGCAGCAGGTTTGCTCTTTTCTTTCTCTGCTCTACTTTCCAGGCCCTGATGGCCTTGCTGTGGGTCAGCACAGCCACTTACTGATGCTCCTCTGGGATTTGGTTGGTGCCTTCTCTAAGTGTCATTGCAAAACCTCGTGGTTCTGGAGCTCTGAAGGACCAGCATGTTTCTGCTTCAAAGATCTTGCATTTGGCAGCTGACTTAAACTGCTCCAGGTGCAAACTGCAGGACAGTGAGAAAAAGTAACATTAGGAGGTATGGGTGCAAGGCTCATCAAATTGGTTTGGTGAACACTTCCAGACATAAAGAAACAAATTG